TGTGTCCCCTTCCTGAGTTTCTCCAGCCTGTGGGAAGTGCATTCAGTGTTACCCAGCTGCAGAAGTGTGCTGAGCATCCTGGCCCTGCTGTGTCTTTGATCTCCTCTTGACTTGCCTTGCGCTGTCATGTGTGCTCACACCAGGACCACAGTCCTGAAGCCTCTGACCATAAAATACAGCACCCACAGGTCTCTTCACCACCCAACTCTGCTTTTCCTCCTCACAAACCTGATCTAACAAAACACTCATCTTCTGGAAATTAAATCAGAAGTTTTGCTTGAAAACCAAAGATGTTAGTTTCAGGTTCTTGGAAAATTTTGTAATGTTTCTGCTCCTGGCTTTCTGGGTCAGGCTTCATTAGGGTGAACCAACTGTAGCTGTGTCCTCTGGTAGATTTGGATTACAGGTGTTGAAGTCTGCTTTTTAAATTAGAAATAAAAGTACAGTCCATTTGGGTGAATAAAGAAGGGTAATGTGCATTTAGTTTGTAATTTATACAGTACATGACAGAGCAGGGAAGTCAAGTATGTATTAAAGGATGGATTAGAAATGAGCATTGCCAGATGGTCTCATGAAGCCACTGTCACTTTTGTTGTATCTTCTGTCAGAAATATATTAGATCATATTTCAGGATGGAATTTTTATTGGAGAGTGCTGTAGGCCTCAAGTGCCACTGCTGAATTTACAAGGTCTGTCTTAGAGCTCTTCTGCTTACCCTTCCTGGATGTACCAAGTCCATCATACTGGGAGGTGCTCTGTAGCACAAAACAGCCCTTACCTCAAACTGCAAGTGTCTTTCCCCATGGAGAGACAAATCTTTGTTAACAGGACACCTCCACATAGCTGAGATGATAAGGAATTGATAGAAGTTTCTTACTTATCTCTGGTGTTCATTAAAGCTGCTCCCTCTAGTGCTTATTAAAAGAAAAGTAATTGCATATGTGAAAAGGGAAAATTTATTTGGTTGTTCTTATCTCTCTTCTCCATTAAAAGGAACCAAAATCGCCTTTTCTTTGATGAAGCAAGTAGTTGTTTATCTCAACTGCAGTGCCCTTTTGGCCTGGCAGCTTCTGTGGCAGTTAACCAAAATGGATATTTAATTGCTTTGAGTGCCCTTCTGAAGTTCAGGTGATGATTACTACACCTAGACATACCATGCTGCAACAACAGGCTCACGCTGCAATCTCCTCTTCACTGCTCTTTCTCCCCTTGCCCTTCTCACAGCCTCTGCTCTGACTCCAGGTCTGAAACAAAGGTATATCCTCCAAAGAGCAATCCCTGGCTTATAAGAAATGTGTACTTCATTAAACCCTAAGGCATTGTTTTCCTGGGTCACATTTAGTTTCCTTGGGGTTTAGGGGTAGCCCATCTTCATTTTGAGCAAAAGGTGTTCACCACAAGGGAGGTGTGGAAGTGTCACTGGCTCAGGGTGGTCCCCAGAGCTGGCATTCCAAGAGTAACACTTGGCAAGTGGCCAAGATGTTCAGCGTGGAGGGGTGTCATCATCTGGGAAGGATGACCCTGCTGCACAAATGGGGTTGGCTGCACAAATAGCACCCCAAAATAAAGTACAGAGTAACCAGGACATCGTGAAGAAGAGGCGATAGGAGCCGCTTGTGTGCGGAATTGCAGAGCAATTGCTGGCAGCTCTACTAGTGGGCAGAGAGAGTTACTGCACTGGAAGAGATTGAATTTTATGCACAAATTAGATGTTCTTGCAGTGCTTGGAGTGTCCTGGGGAGGCATGTAGGTGTGTTAGGAAGACTATAACTGCCTTATGGTCTCCAGCATGTGCCAGCCCAGCTATGTTTTTTTTCCCTGCACCCAAATTAGTCCAAGACCCCTTGCCTTTGCTTCTCCAGTCACTCCTCAAATGTGCATTTCTACAGCTTCTTCCAGCTGCCCTCTGTTCTTTTCCTGAGTCAGTCATAAATACCTGTCTCTGCTTCTGGACAGACAGGGTGGGACAGGTGCCAGCTCTTTATCAGGGTGGATGAAGAGCAATTGCAACTTTGGGTCCTCCCTTCTCGGGAAAATGACGTGTTGCTGATCAGCAAATGAAACAGGGCTTGTGGCAGTTCCTGGGATAGTGGCTTTTATTGGTGCCTTGCATGCCAGATGGGGGAAATCATAGAACTGTAGACTTATTTTTGATTGGAGAAGATTTTTAAAATCATGGAATCCAGTGGGCAGGTACTTACCTGACACAAGGAGGCTGAGCACTCAAAAGGCTGCTCTTTGTTTAGAGTATGCCTTGGAGCCTGGTGCTGCCATGTTCCTGCTCCCTGGCAGCACTGCCTATCCCACAAAAACCAGCACCCAGCTGGAAGAGAGACCACAGGGCATCTGTGTAAATAAGCCCTGGGTGCTGTTGGTCTCATGGTGGTTTGTGTGTGAGCTTTGACTCAGTATGTGTAGGTTATAATGAAGAAGCTGATTGAATTTCAGGAAACTTACATCCTGGAAGGCTCTAGAGAAAAACAAAACTAGAACTTTTTTTCCTTAGGAGGATTTTTTTTGGGGGGTGGGAAATAGTTGTTTTGATTGACTGAGTTTTTAATTTTTCTTTGCCACTTGAAGAATTGCCTCTCAAAGGGGTTGGCATAGCTCCAACTTGGCTTTGCAAAAGAGGAAAGGCATTTTTTTCATTCCAAATGTGGACTAGGAGCTTGTCTGTATATTTTTGCTGCATGAGGGAAAACATAATGTTGGTTGATGTTGGGTTTTGTGGGCAGAACAACATGATTTGAAAAATGCCATTCTCACTTCAGCTAAAAAGCATGACCTCAGCAAGTATGCTGTCACAGCTTCAAAATATGTATGCCTGTAAGCCTTAGAAAATGAGTACAGATTGAAATCAGCTGCTGTAGGCCAAGTTCTCCATGGCTGCAGCGGTACCCAGAATGGGTTTTTTTTTCTGAACAAACCGTGTAATCTTATTTATGTCATCTTTTTGTTTGCACAAAGTCAAATCAAGGCCCTAAAAAAAACAAAAAAAAAACTTGAAGGAAATAAACTATTCAAACTAGTAGACTGCAGATGTTCTTTTTAATAAAGTGATGGTTTCTGTAGGATTTATTCAGTCCTGTCATATGCTTTGTCCTGGCTGGACTTTCTAGGCAGCTGCAACCTAGAGATAAGTCTTCTGTCAGGTTACAGTTGAACTCCTAATTTCAACAGTATTTTTGTTTTTTCTAATTTAAGTTATTTAAGTGTTAGAAAACTCATTGACCAAATCCACTGTGTTTGAAGACATCAGAATGGCATCAGGAGTGAGTAATTATTGCTGCCATGATTTATCATATTAGCTGGGGCAGCACTTGGTGATCGGCTGAGAGCAGAGCTGTGTTCCCAGGCTGTGCAAGCACTCTGCCTGCCTCTGAGTCCCATAAATCAGCCCAGCCCCAGCACTGCCTGAAGGTACAATGGGCAACAACCTGGTATGTTAATGCGGCATCTTGAATAAGAAGCCCCAGCCAACCTCTGCACGTCAGAAAACTGTTACAAAAGCTGTGCCAAGTGTTTTTGCTTTGGGTGTGCAACCAAAACAGCTCTTGGGTCTTCTGAGGCAAATAAGGGTGCCTGGGTTGGGTGTATCTGAGAATCAGTGCTTCAGACAGCTTCAAGCGTGCAGGGTGCTGAACTTGCAGACAAGGGAGTCAGTGAAAGATCAGGATTTAATTTTAGTTTCTGAATCAAAAGACAAACGTGAAAATAACTATCCCATCATTTTACTGATAGCCATGTAGGAAATACTTATATCCGTGCGGATATAGGCTCTTCAAACTGTGTTTGGCTTGTCCTGCTGCGCAGAGTCACTGTGCACATGAGGTTATTGTTTGCCTTGGAAATCCTTTGTTAAATTGCTGCTTGATCTGGAGGGGTATTCTGGATCCAAGACTTTGTCTGATACTTCACTGTGAAAGCCTCTGCATTTCAACCCAGTTTCTCCAGTATCAGAACAAGATCATGCATGGTGGAAGTCCCTGTTGCTCTTTCACAGGGAGGACTTTTTCCTAGCCCCTTTCCCCGCAGCCAGAACCTCTGTCACAACCAGGGCATCCAACTGCTGCCTGTCCCTGCCAGCTTCCAGCCAGAGCCTGCCTGGAGCCAACATCAGCCTTGCAAAGGACTCTAGCTCACGTTGAGCCTGGTCTTGAAACCCCTGAAAAAAAGTATTCCATACTGTCTGCACCAAGGAGTTTCAGATCCAAGATTTTCCAGGGTTGTTTTTATTATTTATTTACTTACTTACTTTTATTTCAGTCTCCAAGGTGTTACACAGGAAGATCTGGGGGCTCTCCACAGCAGCCACAGTTCTGGTATCTCTGACCTGCTGGGCACTAGCTCTGACCATGTGCTTGGACATGTAATGGTGTCCTAGTGCTGTGGCTGTTCAGCAGTGACCAGGAGGAGGAGCATCACGAGAAGGATGTGCTAGAACTGCGTGCAAGTGCACAGCTGCTTCCTTCATGCACGGAGGAAGTCAAGCACATGTCCCTCGTGTAAAGTCAGAGGAACCTTAACCCCAAAACTCCAGTGTCTGAGCTTGGCCTACACCCTTCCTCTCATGTCGTGCCAGTGGCTGTGTTGCTGGAGTGGGGCCAGCCACGCTATGGGGGCCTACTGCCCCCAGGAGGATTCAGCAGCTGTTTGTGAAGCCCCAAGCAGAGGTGGGATGTGGTGGAGGCAGCACAGAGGAAAGCCCTCTCCAATCAAACAAGTAGCTCTGGAGGAAAAGAAAAGGGTCTGAGGGATAAATGTTCTACTTGTAGCATTTGCAGAGTTATTTTAGTTTTTATTTATCTCCAAGTCAGAGGTGAGTCAGCCTGGGATGTGGCTCAGACCACCTCCTTTGCAAGCCTTCAGGGAAGGAGGGAGCACAGCCTGTGCTCTACTGTGCCTCTTAGCAGAGCTTTACTACACACTTTTTTTTGCAATTTTTTTTTTTAAAACCCTCCAAGTTGATGTTACTTTTTTCCCCTTTCCTCTCTCTCTAGTTTTGTATGGAGCTGAACCAGCCGACGCTGCCAAACATCCGCAAGTGGAAGGGCCCTAGAGGATGTTGGAAGGGTGTTGTTTCCGAAAAACCCTCAGGCCAGCTACACAAGGTACATTAATCCCAAAGTCTGAACTTTGGCTTTGCTTTTCCACCCCCCGCCCCCCCTCTCCAACCAAGGACATATTTTGAATGTTTAAGGCAACGCTTTTTGCAAATCCTTTTTGGCAAGGTTTGCATTTCATGTTTTTTAAGCTGACTGTTCCTATAGCTTTTAATTTGACTGTGTTTAATTTATGTTAGGGAAGAATTGTGATGCACTTGTAAGGAGGAAGATATGTGCAGGTATTTGGGGGAGGTGGATAAAAGCAGTACAGATACATAGATGAAAACCCATGCATTTGGACAAGGTAAGAGTCCTGAGTTTTTGCCCTGGCAGGCTGTAGTACTTCTGACATTTTTTGTACAAGTCACCTGAGCTTGCTCCCTGGTGCTGCACGGGCTGGCATTTGGAAGGGCTTCCCAATTTCCTACTATTTTCCCAGTTTGCATGTGAAGAGCCCACAGAGGGGCCCTGCAGCCTGCCGTCCTCACCTGGAAGAGTTTACCTTGTGTATTCCCCAGACTCCTCAACACAGGTATTTAAAATGCTGTGGACTCCATTTGAAATCTGTACTGTTCTGCACTGTGCTTTTCCCTGCAGCATCTTCTGCTCTGGGAAGATATATATATATATATATATATATATATATATATATATATATATATATAT